CATAAATATGCAAAACCATTCTGTTTTAAAGGCTTTAGTGGATCCCACGAGTGTCAAATACAAACACGAGCTGTCAGATGCAAAGGCAGCTGCCACATTTCAGGTCAAGGCAGGAAAATTCGGGTTGAGGTTCAACCACTCCACCACCTTGGTCCGTGCTATGGCATCCAAGCTGTTCATTTTGTGGTTTAAAATAATTGTATCATGGGGGATTCATGGTGAAAAAGTACTTCCCAAATCCAGTGGCTGTTATATAAGAAAAATCACACTCAGAGGAGTCTCAGTTTAAATCATCCTAATGAAGCTTTTCATTAGAATAACTATAGATATATTGATATCTGTATATAAACTGTTCTTTTTGAGAACTTCCACTTGCAAAAACATTTGGCAGGACCAAGGCTGCATTTGGCTTTATGGTTCCCCAAATGCCACCTGCTAAGCTGATCCAGGAAAAGATTCTCCAGGGGAAGAATATGCTGCAATCCAATAGAATCAAATGCACAATTACAGCAGCTTCTCTTAGTTTTTCCCCCTTGTACTGAGTGAAAAACAACAGCACAGCTGTGCAGCATTTTGGGCCTGGATTGTGAGTTATTAGAGAAGAAAAACCTTTGAATTATATATCAGAAAGGGCTGCAGACACTCAGGACACTGCTGAGCAGCTTGGTGTGTCTTATGTGTTGCAGTCCTAATGCTCAGAGAAAACACAAGGGAATCCAATGAATAGGGAAGAGGAAAAGCTCTTGTCACTTCTCATTGCTTTGGATCTTGTGGCTTGCCTGGGATGAATCTGCCTGAATTAGTTTCCATCTTTTAAAAGAAATAATTTCATTCTTATGTTTGGAGACTTCTTGTGGCTGAGAATTAAGCCTTTGTTTTCCCAAACTTCAAGAGAATAACAAGAAGGAATGAAAACCTGCATCACAAAATCAGCTACCTGACAATATTTCAACCTCCTAAACTAAAATGCAAATAAATACATGTGAATAAACACATAAATAAAGCATCCTACAAAGCCTCCAAGGAAAGTCAAAGCTCAAGGTCAGAGAAGACACTCTGGGTGAGAGGAAAGAAATATATAAATAAATAAAACTGTCACATACTATTGTGCCTCTTCCTTTAATTTTTCGTCCGGATTTCGAGACTGATGGTTTCTGGTCAGTCAGAACTGGAGTGGCATCAAGAAGCTTCCTACATAAATTAATAAAATATGAGTTTGCATGGAAAAAAAAAATCCAGTTAACCTAATTTTAAGTTAATAATGAAAAATATTCATCATCTTATTCATTCATTTTGAGGCAGAACTAAGAATTCAGCGAATTTTCCAAGAAATGAGACAATTTTGCAACAAAAGGCAAATCAACATGTATTTGTTTTCAAGCAAATGTGCAGCCTGATGTCTTTACACATAAATAAATGCTAACAAAGGACTTGCAAAATCCTGTTACAAGAGGTTAATTTGTGTTTGGGGTAGAAATCCTGAGGGTAACATGGGCAGAAGAGGTTCAGGATCTCAGTTCAGGAGAGCTCACAGGTTCTAAAGTCTTCTTGCTTAGGAAAGAAGAGGGAATTCAATCCTCCTTTT